CGCGCGCTTGGGCGGCGGTATCTTCACCAAGGCTGCTGACGTCGGCGCCGATCTCGTCGGCAAGGTGGAAGCAGGCATTCCCGAAGACGATCCACGCAACCCGGCGGTGATTGCCGACAATGTCGGCGACAATGTCGGCGACTGTGCCGGCATGGCCGCCGATCTGTTCGAAACCTATGTCGTGACTGTCGGTGCAACCATGGTGCTCGCCGCGCTGCTCTTCGGGGATGCGCTGGGCGAACTTCTGATGCCGATGATGGCGCTGCCGCTTCTAATCGGCGGCGCATGCATCGTCAGCGGCGAGATCGGGGCGTATTTCCTAGAGCTGGGCAAGGGGTGCTCCATTTGGATGGGCACCACGCACAACGGCTAGATACTGCCGAGAGGCATGGCGAGATCGCACCCGTAGAGTGCAGGCCGATGAAGTAGCCGAGAGGTAGTCGAGACGTAGTAGATCCTGGTCAGGGAAGTTGCTGGACCCATGAGGGTTGTCTGTCGGCTGTCTCTCGGCTGTATCTCGGCTGCATCTCGGCTGCATCTCGGCTACATCTCGGCTACATCTCGGCTACATCTCGCCCTGCGTCTCCACTAGCACCGACATGTCGAGGAAGAGCTGGTGCAGCTCGGCGATCGACGCCTCAATCCACACTCCACGGGACGTCTTAATCATCAGTGGACGCATTCAGGCGCAGCTCGGCGATCTAGTAGGATTAGGGCTAGGGTTAGGGTTGGGGTTAGGGTTAGGGTTAGGGTTAGGGTTAGGGTTGGGGTTGGGGTTGGGGTTGGGGTTAGGGCTAGGGCTAGGGTTGGGGTTGGGGTTAGGGCTAGGGCTAGGGTTAGGGTTAGGGTTAGGGTTAGGGTCGGCGATCGACGCCTCCAGCTTGAGGATGTCGCGATGCCTATAGTCGAGATCTCGCCGAGATCTCGCCGAGATCTCGCCGAGATCCCGCCTCCAGCTCGAGGGTGTCGGCGCTTGTCTTGGATGTCGGCCAGCGCGTTGCGCGCCTGCGGCCGGGGCCCGAGATGGTCCGAGATGGTCCGAGGTGGTCCGAGATGGTCCGAGGTTGCTCGGAGGTTCGGCGAGGTCGAAGTGCTTCGCCTGCGCGTGTCCGGGGCCCTGCAGGATGGTCTGCGTGAAGATCTCCGGCTGGTTGGAGGGGTCGCCTAGTCACACAAGAGCCCCACATCACCACCATCCTCGGACAAAAGAGAAAGCAACTCCCCCTCATCTCTCCGGCTGGGTGCATGGGGGACGGCCCCGTGAACCCTGCCCCGTGAACAGAGCCCCGTGAACAAAGCCCCGTGAACAGAGCCCCGTGAACAAAGCCCGGTGAACAAAGCCCCGTGAACAAAGCCCCGTGAACAGACCCCCCTTCGGGGCAAAAAAAAAGCGGCCCGGTGCAATCATTTTGCCCTCGGGACGGCTGAGTGTGTACGAGGCCTCTCCCGAGCTCCTCCCTGTAGCTCCTCGGGGGGCGTCCCCGAGAGGGGAGCCCCCCCCCCCCCCGCCCCCTGTCTAGAAGGGGCTCTCCTCGCGGCACGCGCTCC